GTAGATTGCTATAGCAAATATAAGATTGTATCATTAACAATCCTACCGCATAATGTGACATCTGGCCTTCCCTGTAATTCACATCTGTCCTGTGACTCTAGCGCACTCGGGACAATGTGGCGTAGTGGTTGACATGTAAAGATTATACAATTTAGTATCATTATTTGAGTCCCGATGAGTGTTAAATTCACTGGAAGCGTTATGTCTACTCATATCATTGTGGGTCTTCTTATCATCATAAACGAAATAGGATAATGCTTCTCATATATATGATATACTGGTATTCTTTGAAGTCTACTTATAAAAAAACAAAAATGTCTACATAATTATTTTGTCAAATCCTTTACATATGCAGTTTGAAAGATTACGAGAACATACTAGGATGAATTTGTTTCACTTGTTTTTAGCTAGTGACGTTTCACAAGAAATATCTTATGATAGATTATTTTTCATCCTCGGTAAAAAAATATTTATTACTATTACTATTCACATTTTGGGACCACTTTTTCAAACCCACCCTTTTAATATACATAGTTTTCTTTGAGTCCGTTTAACATAATTGTACACTAATGATTCATATTTGAAAATATATGCTGTAGTTATTTAGACCTACTTTCTCATTACATCAGGTTAGCCCCGTTACGCGACTCTGAACTTTTCCATCTACCCTGCACTTTTATTGGACCCCTCACTTAAACCTCAACTCAATACTTGAGGTCGAATTTAGGTTTCACTGCACCAAGCCCTTTCTCATCAGGTCTTGCTCTCATCTTCTGCACACTTTCCTCTTATGCAGGATTTGAGTTATGCTTTTCCTGTTGATCAGCCATACTCGCCAATTTGTCTAGTCTATATTTATATCCACCATACTTCTCTGGGTCATTCAAATCGAACACTTGACACTGATCGTAACCTATCCCTACCATCCAGCATGGCTCCTGGCCAGATCGATTTTATCTGCCTAAGGGCATCTCCTGGAGCGCTGCGCTGTATTTCTTTGCTGGCCCATCTCTGGGTTCCGCTCATTGTGCCACACCCCTGATTTACGAGCGGTGTTTAACCTCATTGGTTCGCTTAGATCTAGACTTTTCGTAAATAAATTGGCTCTAGCTACCATCTATATCGCCTGATCGGGTGACGTTTATCATGCGCCATTTTATTACGCATTAGATCTGCATCTATCTGAGTACATGAGGCTCCGCTAACCTATCGCTCAGACGTTAATGAAGTCATCAAACAACTTTGTTTAAGTCTATATCTATAACGAAATTTCTCTTTCCGGACCGACCCCTAAACCACACTTCGTTTTCGCATACGTATATTTAACATTGATTATGCTTCCTTTTTCATCGTTAATCTACACCCCTTTCTGTCACACTATTTATGAAGTATTTTTCTGTCCCTCTACTACTTCTACGTGCACAAATTGCACATACAGTTGTACTAAATAGTTTTACTTGCCATAGTGTGACAGTGGAATGAGAGGGTAAAGAGTAGATAGATAGGCCAGGACAGAAAGAGGAGCGATAGTGTAACCGTTTTCAGCAAAACGGTTGTCGAAGGATTGACTTCACTTGTCTCTTTGACGAGTTCGTATCTTGGTGCGGAGAATGGCAGGCTCACTGATGATGCAGACTACGATGCCGGCGAAACGTTTGAGAATGTATCAAGTCCACTGTCAAAGGCTGGGAATCAAGACAACTACTATGGCAGACGACTTCGGATTCGGTGTGTTCTACATAGTCTCCCTGAACACAAGGCCAAGTTGCGACAACGAGGTCAACCCACTTCTATACGCTACATTGTTTCTTATTTTCTCTTTCATCTTATCCATTTATCTTAGATTTAGAATAATTTTACATCAGTCTAGGCATGAGAACACTACATCGCATTTATGTATTCGGCTAACAATATATAAGTTGAATCGAAGGTATGAAGACCAAGATGGTGTGGCTTTTTGTGTGGTCGCAGTCTCCTTTCGTTGTATAGAAGTTTTTTGACCTTGTTTTCGCAACTTGGTCATATTGGTAGGAAGACTTAGAGGAACGCACCTTGCCAGGAGTCCATTGTATGCAAGATCATTTCCAAAGACGGACCGTGGACGTGGTACATTCCCAGACGTTTCGCCGGCATCATAGTCGGCATCGAAAGTGAGTTTTGCCATTCGTAGCACCATATAACAACTCGTGCTACGAATGACGAGACTCATTGACGATGCCGGCGAAACGTCTGGGAATATACCACGTCCACGGTCCTACTCTGGAAATGA